AACTATATATATAAAAACCAAATATGTGTTTGTATATATGATTGAGCTTAAAGTACTAACACACATAATATAAAACCTAAACTAAATATACCCAAGCTTGATAGGTCTTCGATGTAGCTCAACTTGGTACACTTGCAGATGAAGCTAGAACTTAGATCTTCAATTTGAATTGCATAGGCTTCACTCCATAATTCCGCCAATCTCCATTGGATTTGATCGTTGAAGCGCAATCCATCCATCCTCCAACATGTTGTTTGTCTACAATAAATAAATAAACATAAATACTAGACAAATAATATTAGTGGTAAATTGTTTGTTAAACATCATCAAAACAAAGAGACCAACACTTAAATGTAGGAAAGTAGTTGTAGATTTCATTTGAAGCTATTTGGGATATCACACACACTTGTACTGTTTCAAAAACTCGTATTTTGGTAAAATAATGTTTTTCACAAATACGAGGACCTTTTTACAAAATCTCTTTTCAAAAAAGTTTGTCAAAATGTTTATAAACTATTCTCAAATTTTTACATTTTTCTGAATTTATTTGATAATTTTTAACAAAGTTCAAAGTTGATATTTTCTATGTGTATGTTTATGAGTCAACTCATGAACAATATTGAGTCGACTCACAAACTGCTGCGTAGTTGTTAATTATTTCTGACGAGTCGACTCACAACATCATGAGTCGACCCATCAGGTTGAGTCGACTCATGCCTATCATAAGTCGACTCATAAACTATGCTGGAAAATGTGTTTTGTTTCTGCTAAGTCGACCCATGACTTCATGAGTCGACCCATGCAAGATGAGTCGACTCATGAATTTTATGAGTCGACCCATAAGTTTGATTTTTAGCCTGTAACGGCTACTTATGAGTCGACTTATGAACAGTACTGTGTGGACTCATAACACTGTAATGGCTATTTTTGTACAGTTTCAGAAATCCTGTTTTTAGGGGATTTTGTCTGATTCTTTAGGGCTTTGGTTGTTGTTTTCTTTCCTCATAAATACCTGTAAGGACCATGAAATTTTAATACTAGTTAAAATAATTTTTTGGTATTTTAAAATATTTAATTATTATTTTTAAAAAAGTGTTTGTGTTTTTCTCTATTTTTTATAATTTTCTATGATTTAAAGTTCAAGATTTATATTTATTTAAATGATTTTGATAGTTATAAATTAACTTAATACAATAAATTTTTTTGGAATTTATCTGTTGCTTACATGTCATTTTGAATAATACGTTGTATTATTTTTGTTACTACGTATATTTTCGAATAATATGTTGTATTATTATTACGTATTATTTTGTATAATTAGTTGTATTATTTTTACTGTTGCATATTATCAGTTGTATTAGTACAACTTGTACGTTTTATCGTGTAGATAGTTATCCTATAATTATTTGATTTTAAATATAAATAATTATATTTATTATTAATTATTCTTGTTTAATTGTGTAATTTCTTGTATTATTTCTACTGTTGTATATTATTGGTTGTTATACTACAACTAGTACGTTTTGATGTGTAGATAATTTTCACGTAATTATTTAATTTATTTTGTGAACTACTATAGATATACTACTTCATAGGTCATACTAAATACTATATAGATGTATATAGTATATATAGATGATATACGGCTTATTAAATATATATATATTATGCATACTATTATATATCTTTCTCCTTCTTCTCCAAACCCAACCCGCCGCCCCTGTTTCCCTTTCTCTCTCACGCCGCGCCACCCCCTTTCTTCTCTCCTCTCTCTCCTTCATCAACGCCTCCACCACCTCAACCTGAGCTCGCCGCCGCGCAGTTGTTCGCTGCATGTACCCCCCTGACTTCCGCCTGAGCCGTACCTTCCCCTGACCGCCTCCTCCGCCTTGCCACAGAGTGCCACCGACGACGCTCAGCGACCCCGTCGTCTCAGCCGCAGTTCACTGACTAGCGTCGCCTCTCTCACCGCCGCTCCCTCCCTCCGCTCCGCCTTCGACGAACGCCGCCGCCTTTACAGCCCACAATGTCGGCCTCCACCAATCCACCACCAAACTCCGCTCGACACAACCAGAGGCCCCCCACGCTGCAGCCATCACCCTCGCCTGCACCGTCGCAACAGCCTCCGATGATCCACCTCGACGCCCCTCCCCGTTGAGATTTCATGCCTCCAACCCCAAATCCACCCGGATGCCAAGCCTCACCCGCTACCCCCTTGCGGCTGAGCCCCTGCCCCTTGTAGTCGGGGCCCGCCTCCCCTCCCCACCTCCTCGTCGTCAAACTCCCTTAGATCCGACACCGCACTTCCCTCACCGTCGATGCCTCCCTCAGCAGATCCGACAACGTCCGACAGCCCCTCGTCGCCGACGAGCGCCGCTGAGATTCCGCAGCCCTCTTGTAGCGCCCTAGCCGACGCCACGCTCCTCACGCCAGATCCGATCCCCACCATCAACGTCGATTCGTTCGACGAACCCTGAGGCAAGATCCCGCCTCTCCTTGTCGTTTCAATAATTATATACTATATATGTCGATTAGTTTGTAGTATAATTAATTGTGTAGGTTGTTTGATGAATAATATTGATCGAATCATAGTTAGGTGATGAATAGTATTTTCAAAATAATTATAATAAATTAAAAGAATTTATTTTAATAACATAATTATTTTAGAGAATTTACAATATTTTTAAAAGAATTATTTCGTGGAAAAAGAATTATTTTAGATTAATAATAACTGATGAGAAATAATTTTAAAGAATTTATTCTGGAAAAGAGAATATTTTTGATTATTACAATGAGAAATAATTTTAAAAGAAATTATTTTGGAAAATGAATTATTTTCTGAATTTACATAGTTGCTGTTCATGATTACATTTCATATTTTGTGAATATTTTACTGTATTCGACATGTCATGATATAGTTGCGTGAAATTAATGTTATTATTATCTCCTTGTTGTATTTGAGAACCTTAGTAGTTCATGACTTAGTGGCCTCGTGCGTCATGAACAGACATAGTGACATGTGTTGGTGTGTTGACTGAGTTTAGGTGGTGAACCAGAGTTTTAATTTGACTTAGAAAACGAGAAGAGTTAGAATGGGGAATTGTTGGTTCATGTGATCGGATGTGGATGTTTATGTATTTTCCAGGCTCGCACCAGTGGATCGTTTCACTCTGGGGTGGGTTTGAGGAGCAGTGATATCGTGGTTGTATATTGTGGTTGATGGTTATTTTCCAGGCTCGTACCAGTGGATCGTTTCACTCTGGGGTGAGTCTAAGGAGCAGTGATATCGTGGTTGTATATTGTGGTTATTGGTTATTTTTTAGGCTCGCACCAGTGGATCGTTTCACTTTGGGGTGGGTCTGAGGATCAGGGATATCATTGCACGTAGAAGTGAGATTTGGACCAGTGATCTGTTATAGGATAGCTAGTTACATGATATTGTTACTTAGATGATTATGGATTCTTGTGAGATGAGGACTAGTTATATTTCTTTTCATACATAGATCGGGATTAATGTTAAATTATCTACAATGTGAGACATATGGTATATACATGAGGGTTTCCTTGTTTGGATTATTTCGCTCGACGTACTACGTCTCTTGTTGTAGATTTTTAAGTATTAATTCCATCTAGTGTATGATGCTGTTACTTGAATGATTTCTGATCGCTAGCTGCATGACCTCGTTACCCGTTTGATTTATGGATTCTTATGATTATTATGTTTTAGTAGTGAATTTGCATGTTGATTTTGTCGGATTTTCAGATGCACGTTCTTTTGTCATTTCTATTATCGTATCGTTTTCCGCTTTAGTTTTTGTTTGTTCTATTTTCTTTTGTGGGGTCTTGCCGTGTGCCATGCACGCTGACGTACACATGTTTTCTCTAGTGTACGACAGACTTAGAGGAAGAACAGGTTCA